TCTGGTATTTTTATTTAATTCTTATTTTATCTTTTTGTTTGGGGTGTAATTGGGTTTTATTTTGTTTTTGATGGGGGGGGGGGGGGGTTAAATTGTTATTTCTTGTACTTATATTTTAAGGATTTGTTTTCTTGTATTTTCTAAATTCATTTCTTTATTGATGATTCTTTGTCTTTGTTTGTTTGTTGTTGTTGTTGTTTTTTGTTTTGATTTTTTAAATTTTGTTTCTTAATCTGTTGTTTTTTTGTTTTTTGTTTTTTCCTATAATTTAGGGGGGGGGGAGAAAACATGAATTGGTCATTTTTTATTCTCCAGGAAGTGATTGTGGCAATAGAAACACTGAGAACAAATGAAAGAAACAGCCCAGAACATCACACCAACCGCCCCCTCACTGTACGTAGACCATGAACCGGCAAATCTCACTGATAACGACGAAGTGTAGTCGATAATCTGAACAGAAAAATGCAAAGGTAAACCAATAAAAACTGACAGGGAAAAGTCTAGATTAAGTCTACGACATGTGAGAATAAAAATCACTTAGAAAAAAAATGTAATGTCATTCTGTATTATTTTTTAATATCCGGTTATCCTTTCTAGTTCAAAATTTATTATTTCTTTCATAACTGACCAAGAAATGTGTCCATGGTCAGTTATATTCTTCTTTATTTTATTCCGTATAGCTTGTCGTCGCTGTTCGACAGTCTAACAGACAGATAGATAGATAGATAGATAGATAGATAGATAGATAGATAGATAGATAGATAGATAGATAGATAGATAGATAGATAGATAGATAGATAGATAGATAGATAGATGGACGTATGGGTGGATGGATGGATGGATGGATGGATGGATGGATGGATGGATGGATGGATGGATGGATGGATGGATGGATGGATGGATGGATGGATGGATGGATGGATGGATAGATGGATGGATGGATGGGATTGTAAAGCACAAGGAAACGACAAACAGGATAGCGTATGGTAACAAGAGTTAAGAACAAATCATGTTAAAAGTTGAAGCCAATCGTCCTGACTAACAGATAAACGCAAAAAAAATAATTTTTAAATCAGAGAATAAAAAGACCGAACGTACACAACTTCTATTCCCGTGCCTTTGCCTCAACAAGGCTCTGATTAGGTCCCCTGACCACGTTGATAAACATATAATCTTGCACATACGACGTTTCAGTTCTCAAGTTCTGCTCTAAAATCATCCAGGCTTTTGTTTAATGACTTGTTTCAGGTAACAGCAGTCCATCTTTCTCACAGTCTAGAGTAACGTTGTTCATTATTATGATGATTACTGCTCTTTTCAGCGAGCGATCGATCAAAACAAGAAACGAATACGAGTCTAGTGTCTCTCAAAGCTGTGTTTATTTCGGAGAACTTTGGATCAAATTACTCTTTTTCAATTTCGCGCTATGGTTTTTTTGTTTTGTTTTTTTGTTTTGGTCTTTCATCCCAGCTTCGGATAAAATAAATAATATCAAGAGTAGATGCGCCCCTGTAAAGTCATACTATAGCAACTGTTTTGATTATCTTTTGTTCAGGGTTTGGGTTTTTTCTGAGGCTGTTTTGTGAGAAAAAAGGGGAAAACAGGGGGGGGGAGGGTTTGACGTCAAGAATATCTCGAGGTTATTGAAAGAAAGAACGAAAGGAGAGAAAGTGAAACAAAGAAAGATGGAAAAGGAGATAATATGTGAAGAGAAACGTGTGGATTGAGAGGAGAGTAAGTGAAAGCAGGAAAAGGACAGACAGAGAGGGAGGGAGAGAGAGAGAGAGAGAGAGAGAGAGAGAGAGAGAGTGAGTGAGAGAGAGAGAAGGGGAGAGAAAGAGAGAGGAGGAGAGAAAGAAAGATAGAGAGTCGAGATATAAAAGGAGAAAGGAGAGGGAGAGGGTCAAAGACAGGAGATAGAAAATAAGAAGAAAAGCGAAATAAACAGAAAGAGAGGAGAGAAAAGGAGACAGAGAGAAAGGGGAGAGAAAGAAGAAGAAGAAGAA